AGCAAACACACAATACATATTTGTAGAATGCACGAATGAATACAAATAATAAGGCAAATGAGATGAGCCAGTTACAAAGTACTATTACACTTGATGATTTCTTCTTCCCAACACACTAAATATTTTGAATGAAGCGAATGGTATTTCTTTCGTTCTCTCTTTTATCCTCAATACTTAGTATGTGGGACTCCAAAATATTTGCTGAATGAAGGAATGTCAAACTACAGAGAAATAAGGTCAGCGGTTGCCAGAGACGAGGAAGGAGAGGGGAACAGATGGAGCATTGGGCTTGAGCAAAGTATCAAGCGGGGAAGAAAAAGGCATTTGTGACTAGAAACAAGCAAAACAAGACAGAGTATTGCTGCCAGTTACAGAGTATAAAGCTCGGGATGCACAGGAGCACATGTGGAGGCATCAGAAGGGGAGTGGCCACTCAAACTGTATTATTTAGGGAAGGGGTTCTCATGATGACTCCGAGGGACATAAAGTAGAAGTAACCTAGAAATAAGAGAAGAGTGGCTACAGATGTGCACGCAGACAGTGCAAGAGGGAACTATAAAGAACACACACAAAAAAACCCAAACAGCAAAGCTCTCTGGAAACATCATAAGGTCACACATCTACACACCGTCATAAACCCACAGGACTCAGAGCAGGGTCCTCGATTCATCAAGAACAGGCTTTACTATCTTTCCTGCTGAACTATTATTGGTACTGGTTCCAGCAGTAGCTGGCTATAGTACTTAGTAACAGCAGATACATATACTTAAGTATTTGCCATGTATTTTCAAGTTTCATTTACATAAATATCCTATTAGACAGCTTCTACCTCATTCTAGACAAGAGAAAACCATACTACATGGGGCTTAAGTAATCCATCCAAGATCATTCTGCTGCTACATTAACACCAGACTTAAAACTGAGGCTACACCTTACGTCCCACACTTTTAACCATTATCTTATACTCTAAGAAGGCAGATAATGATATTAACATATTTTAGACAGCTTTTATGAAAAATTATCAAAATGAAATTTGATATTTAATGAGATAAACCCTCAACTATCTACAAAACCCACCAACTTTCCCAAGAGCTCTAGATAGGTGAGATTCTGTCATAATTAGTAAACTCACCACAGAATGATGATCTCCATGGTATATGGTGCAGCTCTCTTAGTATATGGTGCACTATTCAATATGGTATCCATAAGCTACATGGGGCTAGTAAACATTTTTGAAATGTGGATAATCTAAACTGAGGTATGCTGTAAGTTACAAATAAACATCAGATAATGAAGGCTTATGACCAAAACAAGAACATAATATATCTCATTAATAATTTTTGTGTTACATGTTCAAATGATATCATTTTGGATATAATAAAAGATATTATAAGGGCTGGGGTTGTGTCTCAGTAGGGCACTTGCCTAGCACATGTGAGGCACTAAGGTTTGACCCTCAGCATCACATAAAAAATAAATAAATAAAATAAAGGTATTATATCCATCTATAACTAAAAATATTTTTAAATATACTATAAATTAATTTCACCTTTTGTTAATTTTTATAAATGTGATTACCAGAACATTTAAAATGACGCATGCTCCTCACATCTGCAGTTTGTATTATATTCCTTTTTGAAAGCTCTGAGCTTAGCCATAATCTCCAAGGCACTCTACTCTAGCTTCTGGACTAGAGCAAACTTCTCAAGCTTTTAGTAGCTCACCTATCAAGAGCATGATAAATAGCAATCACATTTATGGTGAATGCTGAGGGGACACTGCAAGGAAGAAGGCAAGGAAGGGCCATTCTAATATATAAAAAGAGTCGTAATATATGATTAAAGTCTCTACATCAGAAATGGAATAGTCAAAATGACTCTTGAAAATCCCTTAAATTATCTATTAAGTATAGTAAATGTGACTTTGTACAAAGAGTGGATGTAAACCAAGTTGATGACTTTGTACAAAGAGTGGATGTAAACCAAGTTGATGACATAGTAAAACCACACTGAATTTTATTTTTCTCTCAAAAATTGTTTTACTCTTGAATCAAATATAAATTAAGAAATTTTTAAAAATATTTTTTAGTTATAATTGGACACAATACCTTTGTTTTATTTATTTGTTTTTATGTGGTACTGAGGATTGAACCCAGTGCCTCATACATGCTAGGTGAGCCCTCTACCGCTGAGCTACAACCCCAGCCCCAAATTAAGGAATATTTTTTAAAATCTTGCAGATAAGAAATAGGCCTACAGAAACACAGACCTAATCTTTGACACAAGAGCAAAGGCAATCCAATGGAACAAACAGTCTTTTCAGCAAATGGTGATGGAGCAACCAGACATCCACATGAAAATATAGAATCCAGAAACAGACCTTAGACCTTCCCCTCACTGCCCCCTAAAAAATACCCTCAAAATAGATCATTTATTTATTTTTGGTTTTTTAAAAGTCCTGGGGGATGGAACCCAGGACCTTGTTCCCCCACATTTGAGGCAAGCACTTAACCACTGAGCTACATCACAAGCCTAGGATCACAGATCTAAATCTAAATCACAAATCTAATCACAAATCTAAATAACAAAACTATAAAACTTCTAGAAGATAACTAAGGACAGAAAACTAGATGACTTTGGATTTGGATGGTGATGACTTTGTAGATCTAACTCTAAAAGCACAATCCACAAAAGAAAAAAATAAGCTGAAGTTAATTAACATTTAAAACTTCTGCTCTGTAAAAAATAATGTTAAGAGAATGAAAAGATAAGCCATAGATTAGGAAACTTCTTGCAAAACTTCTAAAGAACTTTTTTCTAAAATATACAAATAAGTTAAAACTCATCAATAAGGAAACAAAATTTCAATTAAAACAGACAAAAAATATGAATATCTCACCAAAGAAGAAAAAGATAGCAGATACACATGTGGAAAAAGTGCTCAACATTAATAATAAAACACGAGATACCTGTATATACCTATTAAAATAGCTAAAATCCAAAATACTAACAAACCAAATGCTGATGAGGATGTGTGGCAATTTGTGTTTAATGATACATCTGGACAAGTCTACATCTTGTGTTACATTTACTGTTTCTTTTCATTCTTCTTCTTCCTTGTCTGTACATCTAGATGGACAAGTCTACATCTTGTGTTACATTTACTGTTTCTTTTCATTCTTCTTCTTCCTTGCCTGTAGCTGAATCAATAAACTTTCATTACTCATTTTTCTCTTTCATGTTTAGAAAGCCATATAATTTTTTCCTTAGTGGTCACTCTTGCATTTTACATTTGCATAAGTTTCACTTAGGACTCACTTGTGTGTCTGGTGGCTCCACTCTCTCTAATCTAGACACAAACTTAGCACACTTGAGTTACACACTGAACTTTCCCCTCTCATCTTCTTTGATATAATTATCTAAAATTATCTAATATTTTTTTAAACAAAGGATTGAATCCAGCAGCACTCAACAACCACCGAGTCCCATTCCCAGTACTTTTCATTTTGAGACAGGATCTCACTAACTTGTCTGAGCCGGCCTTGAATTTGTGATCCTTCTGCCTCAGCCTCCTGACTAGCTGGGATTACAGGCATGTGCCACAACACCCACACTAAGAAACATTTCAAGAATAAAATCAGGCAATACAAAGCCATTAGTGCCATGGCTTCCTTTAATGTTTCACCATTCCCACTTCATGCTGAAAAGGGTCAGCATCACAGCCTCAGGAGACCAGCTGACTTACCCTTGTCTGAGCTTGATGTTATTCTGGTTGGAAAGGCTTTCTTCCATTTTCACCAGAGCAATAAAGATTATCTTTATATCCACAACTTATTCAGGCAAAATGGATGAAAATTTCAATAAAAACTTTAAAGAAGTTGGGCACGGTAACGCACGCCTGTAATCCTAGCAACTCAGAAGGCTGAAGCAGGAAGATTGCAAGTTCAAAGCCAGCCTCAGTAACTTAGCAAGATCCTGTCTCTAAACAAAATACAAAATAGGGCTGGGGATGTGGCTCAGTGATTGAGTGCACCTGAATTCAATCCCTGGTACAAATAAATTTAAAAAAAGAAGAAGGAGAAGGAGAAGAAGTTTAAAGAATAATTAATTTTATGTGCAAATTTTTAATGTGCTTAAAGAAAAACTCTGCTAACTCTAAAAATGGGAGAGGGGAGAAGAAAGTTTCCCTGAGAACCTGTTTTCAAAAAAAGGCATTCACTATATTTTACCATATTCCAATCTCTATTGCTAGAAAGAACTAGAAGAGAACACCTGTCAGAGAAGAAATTCAAGTAAGGGAGAGCCAATACAGCAAAGCACTTTAAAATTCAAGTTGGAATGTCCAGGCACAGAGATTCTACTTTCAAGCACAAAATATTTAATTTTTTAATGAGGAATACAACCTAGTGATTGAGGGGAAAAAAATTAGCCACTGACTGATAACAAAGAAAACAAAAATACAGACTAAAATTCTACAGAAAGCAAAAGGAAATAAAGTAAGGACTGACATTAGACCAAACTGAAATCAAATCCTGACTATGTCATCTCCCATTGGTGTAACCTTCTGCAAGTGACAACTCTCTGACCCTGAGTTTTCCCCTCTGCAGAGAGAGGATCATATAATAGGAAGCTGGGAGAATCAAAAGGACACCCGTTATGAAGTACCCAGCCCAGGGCATGCTTGTGGTAGGTGCTCAACATCAGTTCCTTCCCATTACCTCCCACACTGCTTTCGTTGGCAGGTATAATATAAGGGCTTGGGGGAATTGTTAAAATTCATTTTCTCATGTTTATATTTATGAAGATAAGCCTGTTTTGCAAGCAGATTTCTGAGGTAGGCTGAGATACACAGGCCCAAAGTCTGGTGAGCACCCTGAACTGGATCAGTATGGAGCTCTGGTTCCCAGGCCAATGCCTAGAAAGACTGACTTGGCCAAGAATACAGTTTTGGTGACCAGAAATCTGCCAGAAACTAGAGCAATCAAAACCAGAAAGGATTACTTGAGCTTCGGCTCCCGTCCTTCGCTTGTATACTGCCAACAGATGAGCCCAATGAGGTCCTGTACCCTGGCGCTGGCCATTGTCACCACGGTCATTGGCAGCAGTCTATCCTGGCTTGAGTGCAGGGGGAGGTAGACATCGATCTTCTTGGTTGCAGTTGTGCCTACGTGACCCTGTGAACAGAGCACATGCAAGAGTGAAGCCCACAGCCAGGGTTGTGCAGCCCACAGAGGTCACAACCATTACTCTCAGGCCCAGGTGCGGCCCAGCCACTGCTCATCCTTTCTGCACAGACCTACTCTGAGCCTCTACTGGTCCCAAAGCAGAACACTGTCTAGCTTCAAGGGTATTTTTCCTTTAGTTTTCATTTTCTAAGGGTACAATGAATCGATCTCTCCCAGCAGGAAGGTAAATGAGCACCACAACCAAGATGAACGAGCAAGAGCAGTGATCAGAGCTGACGTTTGGCATAGTAGTAACTAGCTATTGGTGCTAACTCAATATGACCTTGGAGAACTCACCATCAGAACTCTGTGGCATCAGCTGTCCTCCCTGGAATCCACCACTGAAAAGTGTCTCCTGGAGATGTTGAGATAAGCTGCCTAGGAAGTTGCCACACTCTCTGGGGAAGCATTTGCCCTGGAATTAAGTGCTTGCCTTCTCAGAAACTACTGGGACTATGTCTACTATGTAGCATACCTGTTTACTTCAGTGCCACACAAGTTGAAGGGTCCATGGTCTTTGATGACTGCCCATCCTCACAGTGCTCTGCCTATCGCCCACACCTGCTCTTCCCTCCTGAACCTTCCACTGGGTCCTCAAGCTCCTGCACTAAGCAATGTTCATAAATCCTCAGCTGCTTTGTAATAAAAACTCCTTCAGCCTCTCTGAATCTTAATCAAAACCTGGTGTTTATTGAGGATCCTTTCCTCTGGCTGTCCTCCTTAAGAGAAGTGTTGTTTGTTTGTTTTTTGAGACAGGGTCTTGCTAAGTTGCCTAGCTGGACTAAAACTTTCAATCCTCCTATTTCAGTCTCCCAAATAGCTAGGATTATAGGTGAGCATCACCACATCCAACTCTTTTTCTTTTTTATTAAAAATAAATAAATAAATCCTCAAGGCCAGGACATAGAGTAGGTATTCTTGTTTCCATTAACACTTCTTTCAAACTATTACTTCCTCTCCCCCTTTCTTTTTTGGTACTGGGAATTGAACCTAGGGGTGCTTTACCACTGAGCTAAGTTCACAGTTATTTTTATTTTGAGACAGGGTCTTGTTAAATTGCACAGGGCCTCACTAAAGTGTTCTGAGGCTGGCCTTGAACTTATGGTCTTCCCACCTCAACCTCCCTAGACCCTGGGATTACAGGCTTGTACCACCATTCAGGCTACTTCCCCTTTCTTCCAAAAATCCCAGTTCCTTTAAGGTCCAAATCTTAACTACTCCACCCTCTTCCTCTCCTTTTCTGTTTCTGTTATTCACCAACCTCCTGGTCACTCCTCTCCCTCACTGAAGTCCTGAGTTCATCTGTCTTCTTTCTCACCCACAAACATGTCCATATGCCGTATGCAGAAAAGTGTCACAGGCAACTTAAGTTCACAATGGAGCACTTCATTGTTGTTCATTCCTGCCCATCCTTACTCATAACAGACCCTTCATTTCAGTAAGTGCCACCACCATGATGCCAGCTGCTTAAGGCAGTAGTCTTGAGTCCTCTTTCCCACTCCTACTGCCCACCTATCCCCCTAGCAACTTCTTGTGTGTCTACCCCCAAAATATACTTCAACAGGGAAAGAACTGTCTTTCAACAAATGATGCCAGGGACAACTGAATAGTCACATGCAAATGAATGAATTTGAACTCCTGCTAATACTGTATTCAAATATTAATTCAAAATGGATTGAAGATCTAAATATAAGAAGTAAAGCTATAAAGCCCATTCATAGAAACAAAAAGTATAAGTCTTCCTGAATTTGATTAGGGAACAATTTCTTTAAAACAACACCAAAAGCACAAACAACAAAAAATAAATTCGATTCATCAAAATTTTAAAATTTTGTAACTCAAAGGACACTATCAAGAAAGTGAAAAACATAACCCACAGAATAGAAAGAAACATCTGCAAAACATGTATCTGATAAGAGTCTACTATCTAGAATATATTAAGAATTTTCACAACTCAACATGAAGGTGATCCAATTAAAACACTGGCAAAGGATCTGAGCAGACGTGTCCAAAGAAGATATATAAATGGCCAGCAAACAAATGAAAAAACAAACAACTTAATCAATAAATGGGCTAAGGAACTGAACAGACACTTCTCAGAAGATATGCAATCAATCAACAAATATATGAAAAAATGTTCAACATCTCTAGTAATTAGAGAAATGCAAATCAAAACTACTCTAAGATTTCATCTCACTCCAGTCAGAATGGCAGTTATCAAGAATACCAACAACAATAAGTGTTGGCAAAGAAGTTGGGAGAAAGGGCATGCTCATACATTACTGGTGGGACTGCAAATTGGTACAACCAATCTGGAAAGCAGTATGGAATTTCTTAGGAAACTTGGAATGAAACCACCATTTGACCCAGCTATCCCACTCCTTGATCTATATACCCAAAGGATTTTAAAAAAAAAAAAAAAAACATACTACAGTAACGCAGCCACATCAGTGTTCATAGCCAGTACAATTCACAATAGCAAACTGTGAAACCACCTAGATGCCCTTCAATAGATGAACAGATAAAGACACTGTGGTATATATACACAATGGAGTGGGTTTTTTTTTTTTTTGACAATAAAAGAGAATAAAATTACGGCATTTGCAGGCAAATTGATGGAGTTAGAGAATGTCATGCTAAGAAAAGTAAGCCAATCCCCAAAACCCAAATACCAAATGTTTTCTCTGATAAATGGATGCTAATCCATAATGGGGGTGGGGGGGGTAAGATGAGTGGAGCAACTTTGGATGAGGCAAAGGGGAGTGGGGAGGGTTGGAGGGGGTAGAAAAGATGGTGAAATGAGACAGACATCATTATCCTAGGTATGTGGATAATTGCACAAATGGTGTGATCCTACTTTGGGTACAACCAGAAGTCAAAAATTATGCTCCATTTGTGTATAATGAATCGAAGAGCATTCTGCTGTCATGTATAACTGATTAGAACAAATAAATAAATTAAAATTTAAAAAAACACAATGAGATACCACTTTATACCCACTAAGATGGTTATGGATTTTTTTTTTTTTAAAAAAAACAAACCCTTCCCCCTCAAAAACCAAAAATACCTGACAATAACAAGGGTTTGTGAGGATGCAAATAAACTGGAACCTCATACTTTAACAGTAGGAATATAATATATTCCTGTGAAAAACAGTTTGGCAGTCTCTCAAAATAGTAAACATTGAATTATCATATGATCCAACAATTCCTCTCCTAGATATATACTCAAGAGAATGGAAAACATGTTCACACAAAAACTTGGAAAGGCATGTTCATAGCAACATTGTTTATAATAATGAAAGAATGGAAATAGTTAAAAGTTCATTAACTGATTAGTAGATAAACAAAATCCATACAGTGAAATATTACTCGGCCATAAAAAGGAACGAACCATTGATACTTGCCACAACATGGATGACACTTGAAAATAGTATGCTAAAAAAAAAAGGCCAGAGGTAAAATGTCACTTATTATATTGACCCATTTATATGAAATGCCTGTAAAAGGCAAGTCCAAAGAGACAGAGAGTAGATTAGTGACTGGTAGAAATTGGGGGGGAGGGTAGAGGGACTGGGAGATATGGAGCTTCTTTTTTGTGGTATTAGAAATGTTCTGGAATTAGATAGTGATAATAGTTGGGTAACATTATGAATACATTAAAAACCATAGACTGTACACTTAAAATAGTGAATTTTATATGAGCATTATCTCAATAAAAAAATTGGAAAATACATAATTTAAAACCATCCCCCTTTGCTCAATCTCTAGATTCCAAACTTAAGTATTGTACTCTCGTCTATTGTAATTTGTTTTCTTTTTTTTTTTGGTGGTGCTGGGGATCGAACCCAGGGCCTTGTGCATGTGAGGCAAGCACTCTACCAACTGAGCTATATCCCAGCCCCTGTAATTTGTTTTCCACATATTTAAAAAAAAAAAAAAAAAAAAACCTCTAAAAAACCTCTAATCTACTTACACTCCTCTTTAAATTCCTCCAGTGAGTTGTTCCCAGGACACAGAATGAAACTGAAACTCCTTGCAATGTCCCACATGGCAACAAATGACCCAGGCCCTGCCTGCCTCTCCATCATCATCTGCTGCCACACCCTGGCGTGCTCACCAGGCTTCAGCTATGCTGGATTCCGGAAAGTGCTCTAAATACACAAGACTGTGAGAGAGAGCAAGAATGAGGTGAGAGCAAGTGGGCTTTGTCATTTGCATCTCCCACTCTCAAGGCTTTATGAGGTGCTTCTCACTTTCTAAAAGGTTCTACTCCCTAATGTCTGTATATCTGGCTCCTAATCCTCTTAATGTGTGCTTTTGAGAAGGTTGTAAAACCTCTCAGGCTTTTGTTTCCTCATATGTAAAATGATGATAATGATGAGACCTACCTATCATGAGACCTTTGTGAGGACTATTGCCACTGTTGTTATTATTCAAGGTTTAGCTTATCTGGCTCCTACTCAGAGAAACCTTCACTGATAATGCTACAGAAAGAAGCCCTTCTCCATTATGCACTCCACATGGGTCCTGCTTGTTTCTTTCACAGCACTTAACAATTTAAGAGTAGGTATTTACTGATGTTCATCCACAGCAGACACTTCCCGCCCAACCTGGAATGTCCATGAGGGCAGTGATGATATCTGCTTTGTTTACTGCCCCATGCATGATACCTAGCATTGTGCCTGGCATAGTAAAGACTCTCAAAAACAAAAAATGTGTTAAGGGGCTGGGGATGTGGCTCAAGCGGTAGCGCGCTTGCCTGGCATGCGTGCGTCCCGGGTTCGATCCTCAGCACCACATACCAACAAAGATGTTGTGTCCGCCAAGAACTAAAAAATAAATATTAAAAATTCTCTCTCTCTCTCTCTCTCTCTCTCTCTCTCTCTCTCTCTCTCCTCTCTCACTCTCTCTTAAAAAAAAAAAAATGTGTTAAGACAGGCATGGTGG